AATCCATTTGTTCTCAACTGAATAATTAAAAACCTAGTTTTTTAGATATCTTTCATGACACCTAAATTATCATATAACTTTTTTAAAAACTTTGCACTGTGTATCACTGATACATCAGACACATTCAGTCTGTCAAAATGGAATACAAAATATCATGTATTGCATTAGCATTCTCTTATACATTTTTACAGTATACGCTTCTCAAACAAATACCTTTCATCAAAATCTTTTTACTCCCCCAGACTTGCTTTATGTGCCTTCACAGGACCTTAAAACTCCCAAGCAGTGGTTCATTTCACAGAGCCACTCCTCCTGCTCCCTCGGGATTTCCAGGGCAGATGACTCCTGACTCTGCCTCCCAGTTTCATTTCCAGCAGGCAGGATCACTCAGCCATGCTAAGCATCTCATTTCAGTAACAATCTTAACCTCATGCCACAGGTCATAGTGTTATAAGCATGTACAAGGAAGAGGAATTTTTCCCTGCAGCCATGGAGTACTTAGCTCTGTTATTGCAGAAATAAACCATGACACAAGAGTTAGAAGACGCTATCATGAATTATCAACGTAGATAAATGGGATAGGTGTTGAATAAGGACTGTCACAGACATCCTGCTTCTGTTTACAGCCCTCATTTCCACCACCTGCATATTTTTACTATTTTGTCTCTTGAGCTTCTCACTGGAGGCAGAAGACATGCCCAAGAAGATGTGAGAATTCTCTGTTACACAAGAATAAATAAATTATTACCACCTCCTGCCTAACCCTGGAATGGAAGAAATCCTGCTCGTGGGAAGGAGACAACACTTCAAAAAAATTTTCTAGTTCTCTTATGTCACCAACCATCCAGTGTGACAGAACACTCCTATGTGTGTCACTGTTACTTGGGTCATCACACATCCTGCCCATGCTGCCACAGAGGTCAGACTGACTACAGGTCTCCAGTATTTCTTTTCAGGCTCCTCTTCTCTTGTTTGGTCTAAACAGTAACTCACTCTACTGAGGCACAGATCAAAGTTCCACAGGCTGTCTCACAGCAAGAAAGCTGATATGAAGGTATCACATGTTTCACCCCCAGTATTATTTCTTCATCTATGGGAGAATCAAGTTCAAGTCTCCATCCTCTGAAAACTGAAACTAATATATCATATCACATCTTTCTCTCACCCTGTCCAAGCTCCATAAGGTTCAGGTAGAGCTACCACTTCATAGACAACCCTTGCCATGTAATCAGGTCCTGAAGGTAATAAGGGATAGATATCGAAGAAACTTATTATGTTTATTTTCTATCTGGTTTCAAATCCGGAATTAAATTTATCAATAAACATCTAATTAGTATTTCCATCCCAGATCACTGTAGGTACTGGTCTGTCACATAGCACAATTCAGTGGGTTTTAATTCATACAAAGGATTTAAAGGAATTGGAAACAGATAAACCAGAAAGAAGTAGAAGCTGATGTTCAGATTTTATGATCCTAATATTTGGATACATTTACTTGGCTTGGACTTCCACCAGGCATGACTGTAACTCATTCTGGCAAGGTTTTTATTCTGTTTGCACTCATGCACCTCTACAGCATTTGCAGTGGAAATCAGACTCTGGAGTAACAAACTTAAGCCTCCTTGCTAAAGTACTGTTTTTCTTGGTTCCCTTTGCAGATCCCTCAGAGAAGTCCAGAGCAAAGGTAGAAAACCACTGCCATAACATGTAAATGATGATATTTATATCATAACTAGATTTAAAAGGGACAGAAGACAGCAGCAAGGTGCTGCCTAATTTGCAAAATTACATTCATTTGTACAACCTGTCACACAAATCATCAAGATAAAATGGTACCCTGCAGCTGGCAGATAATACGTGATACTCTCCTACAAACCACTGTTCTCTTTTCCAAATATTCACACTCACAGACTGCCAAGGATAAGCTACCAGCACAGACAGGGACAGCTCTGAGCAGCAGCAATACTTGGCTGCAAAAAGGAGATGGGCACGAGTAGTGACAACACGAGCTGCTCCAGCCAGCAGATGCTCATTCAGCTTAATGTTAAACGCTGCAGGTGCCAGCTAAAGACAACATGATGGCTGCAGCAGGCACACTTCCAGAGCATTACTGGGATGAAAGACCTCACTGGGCATGGCCCCAGAAAAGCTGGTTTGACCACACAGCTCCCCCTGCTCAGAGCAGGAGGGAGTATCCAGAGAATGGCAACAGAGCTGGAGAAGGGTCAGGAGTACAAGTGTTACAAGAGGATCAGCTGAGGGAGCTGGGGCTGACTAACTTGGAGAAAAGGATACCCAGGGGACACCTTATCACTCTCTGCAATTGTGTTAAATGAGTCTCCTCTCCCAGGTAACAAGAGATAGGACAAGAAGAAATGGCCTCAAGTTGTGCCAGAGGAGGCTTAGATTGGCTATTAAGAAAACATTACTTCACTGAAAGTGTGGCCAACACTAGAACAGTCTGCCCAGGGAATTGGTCAAATTGCAATCCCTGGAACTGTTCAAAAAATGTGTAGATATGGTGCTTGGGGCTGTGGTTTTGTAGTGGATACGGCAGTGCTAGCATAATGGCTGGACTCCACGACCTTAGAGGTCTTTTCCAACATTAATGATTTTATGAGTCTACGGTGGACTGAAGAGCTTTCCAAGCTAGAGCTTTCCAGACAGAAAATGCTTGTGAGTAGATGGTGACTTATGTAGTGAAGTATATCTGATTTTCACAGCCTTCTAATGGGAGCAATGCCATGAAAAAATGAAAGAATATTATTAAAATTGTACTAACATCATTGGAAAATAGCTATAGCCCTTCTCAGCTCAGATCCCCACACCCAACTTTTGCAAAGATTAAAAAAAACCAAGAGGCAAACATATGCAAAAGCCAGGTACATAGCACTGTAGTTCATAAAACACCAGCTTTTAAGTGTCATTAATTTGTGCCTTGTAGATATTTCCTCTCTACCCAAAGTAGTCCCAAAGACAGTACTCTGCACCATGCTTTCTCTGGATCAGTGTCTTTTCTCTCTGACACAGAAATCATTGGTGAAATAGTTAAAAGCAAAGTGGGGTGTGAAGAGTCACGTTCCAAGCAGTGTGAGTGAGATTCAGCTGTTCTCAGCACATCTCAGAGCACTGCTGGTGCTGCAACTGCGCACGCAGCCCTGGCCCATCTTTGGTCCCAGCTGTCTGCCAAACACAAATATCTGCAGCATATTGGCATGTGAAGTCAGATAATAATGCTCAGGGGAGCATTGCAGAGGAAGTGCTTCTCCTTCACTAATTACAGGTGGAAATGGAAGCACTTCTGCCAATTCTGAGAAGCACGGGCAGTGAAAAAAACTCCTGTCAGGCTCCAGCCAGTAGCGGTTGTCTTCTAAAGGACACAATTTGGAAAGAAAAGAGCTATGGGGGAAACCACCCCAATTTACTGAGAATTCACTAATCAAAACTCCAAATCTGAAAAACAGGAAACAAATATTATTGACAAAATTGATGCTGTACATTCACCTTTCCCTCTGCTGTGTTTTAGTCCTTCATCTCTGCAATCAATGCAATGAACATCCCAATTAGTCATCATTTGCTTCCTTTTAACAGAAGAACCTCAGGGTCATCCTCATATCTTTCCTGTAGTTTCACTGAAGAGTTACTTATTTAATATGCTATTGACTTTCAGATGCCTATCTAGATTTGCAACAATTTCACTGTAAGAGTAATTTTAAAGTGAATAAAAACCAAACAATACTTTTTTGACATCTTCAAGATATTTACGTTGCAAATTCCTCGTTTGCATTTATCAAATCTCAGTACAAGCTCAAAGATTCATTCCTAGAATGCACCTCTAAAACTGTGCAGTAAAACTAATCTCTGCTTCTCTGCATGAACAGGGAATTGCAGCTCCCACTAGTATTAAAGGCAGTCCATACACCAGTCCCATTGAATGCAGACAAGAGGAAACTCATATAAATCATTTTTACTCGAATTACTAAAACACTTCCAGGGCACCTTAATTTCATATTAAGACAGCAAAGAACCACACTACTTATTTATTAACTATAACACAGTGTTTTAAAAATAGTTCCAAAGTGTCCTTGGTACCCTTAAGTCATCAAAGACCATGATCTAGAGAGAAAAACCTTTTGCAGCAGTCTGCTATTTGACATGTAAAAACTGTGTCATAATCACTAAAGTCTGAAGTTTTCTAAGTCCTTCAGTAAAAAAATATCTATGGCTATTGAACTACTGCTGGCTGTTCAAAACAAGTATTTAAAGAATAATTCATTTCTCTGGTGTAAACCCAGCAATTTCCACTCAGACCCTGGATGCTTTCAAAGGCAAATCCTATAAGACTGAAAAATGTGCAGCTACAAAGACAAGCAACCTTGAAAAAGAAAAAAAAGCTGTTAGGAATTTCCTCTGCAATAAACCAAATACATTTAGCATAGATCCCAATTTCAGGATATCTTTAAGGAGGCAAGCTTGCATGATTCAAGGTTAAAAGTTCATTGCTATTTTTTTAAGTCTGTCACACCAAATAGCTAAATATTCTGACAAGGAGGGGATACAAGCATTTGATCTACAGTAGATGACGAGCTGGGCTGGCAATTATAAAGCTATTCTCACTTGTATATCCTTGCAAAGTGTGAGAGCCATGTTCCAAGGTTGTCCTTAAAGGCGTCCTTAACATAATGCTGTCAATGACGTTTCTTCTTTTCGGACATTACATTCTTTGGTGATTAATTTAAATAAAAGTTCTAAAAGCTGATCATTATGAAGTTCAGAATGAGAGCATTATTACACACACAATGAAGTTATCTCTGAACAGAGGAGAGAAAGAAACACTGGGCTCTGCCTGTATATTCACATGCAAAGTAACAACTCCCCTTCCCCACTACTATGTTGACATCATGCAGCATCTGCATTCGACTTTTTGCATATGTAATGAAAAGACACACCTCAGAAAATAAAGACAGTTTTAAAAGCAAAATAACCATTTTCTTACTTACAGCATTTGATAAAATGGTAATGAGACATTCTTTCATCTCAGGCTGTAGTCTCGCTACAGGTTTCAGCATTCTCTTCTGCTACAACTGTCATGCCCAGAAAATGCATTATTTAAAGCCCTTCCTCAGGTATCCAGTACACCTCAGAATACATTATTCAGCGCAGTTTCTGTTCCAGGATCTTGCAGAGGCTTCCAAGTCACCCTCACCCGGCTGCTGGAGTTACGATAAACCTCTGTGCGTCTTGAACCATGACTGCTGCACGTGCTATTGTAGCACAATTGATTGACAGCGCTCCTAATCCCCCATCCCCAGGAATAGAAAGATTTAATTGGTGTGCACTTGCAGCCACATTCTTCCAGCACTGAGGTGTGCTGCTGCACTGCGGCTTTCACAGTCCTGCCAGTTAATGGCTTTTCAATAGCTTTCAAATGGCAGCAAACTAAGCTTGATGAGTGGGCTCGAATGAAAGAGCAGAACAGGGGATCTTAAATTTTATTTGTGCATGTTGTTCGTGTGCCAAATGCAACCAGATTTTTAGCTAGTACTAAACCGGGATTATTTTTAGTTGCCACCAGTTGCTGTGTGAATAGTAAATTGATATAGGTTTCCAAGAATAACCATCTTTTAGCATCACAGATCCTTTTTCAGTATATTATAAGGTAAAAAATCAGGATAAAGCTTACAGCCATCTTCAGAGTCTCATGGTTTATGCATGGATTAATTCACATTGAGCTAAAACATGCTTGTGTGTACATTTCTTGATATGTTCCTGTTCTATCCTTTCTTTGTATTGCAATGCATCTTTTTCACAGATAGAATATATGTGTCAGGAGACAAAAACTGCAAGCTCTGCACAGTTTGTATCATGATTATGCGCATGTTATTTAATGACATTTAAATCATTGATTGTAAGAGAAAAAGCCTAAGAAAATGCATCACTAGGAGCAAGTCCATACAATTATTTATCACACTGTAGAATAACAAGTCAATGTACACTGACGTATTACCCGGTTTCAGATTAAGGACACACAAAAGGCAGACCTGCATTGTATTTTAAACACCCAGGCTGCAGCATCCTCTGAGAACAATTTCTGTATTACTTTGCCAGGAACAGTTATCCATGAATTTGGCTACCTCTTCTGTGAGAAACCTACAGCTGAACTGCAGCATAAAATATTTTTTATAGTATCAAAAAATAATTTAAGAAAATTGTACTTATTGAAGACCTCCATTTGCTTACCATGCATCATGCTTGCCACAGCCAACACTTCAGTGAGTGAGAGCTCTTGTAAAGGAAAACTGATAGCCCAACCATATTTATATCTTTTATTCATCTGAAAGGGTTCTCACCTACTATTTTGTCAACATAAAATTCTAACAGCTACAAAGTGTTAAAAGGACTACAAAGGAAAAAGGGTCTTACTAATTAGTGAGGGTCACTAATTCAGATTCTATTAACTATTCTGCAAAGTTCCCACAAGAGCAGAAAGATATATATTCACAGGCTTCCAGTGATCCATTAGCAAAACCCTTAGGTGAAATCTCTCAGCTCCCAATAGCCAAACATTTCACATATGGTTTAAAGTTAAATATACATAGCAATTCTTTTATTTATAGATAAATCTTTATATCAGAACTAATTATTTAGGTATTTTGGTTTTCTTCCTGAAAACATAAGTTTTCCACAAGAAAATGAAAAAAGAATCAAGAAATAATCAAGGGGACATAGGGATAAATTATATAAAACACAATACAGTAATTACATTACCATGGAAACTTTTTTTGCTCTAAAGCTCAGAAGTCCAAAGTAATTAAATCTATTCAGACTGCCTTTCACACCTACACAACACTAGGCCGATTTGGGCCACATGGCTTATAAAATAAACATATAGAGTGTTTTAAGAAGCAATGTTAGTCATAGTTCATGAGCAAGTGTCAAGTAATCTGACAAAAAGGCCTTTGAGCACTACTTTTTGGTGGAGACATTCATGACAGGTTCATCTCTGGTGGCACTGTCAGGCAAACAGGCTGCCGTGTCTAATAACATCACACCTCACCATCCCACACTGGTTAAAGCCAGGAGCACCTTGGTAAACAATGGTGAGTGAAAGAAATGGACAAAGGATGCTTTTCAGCAGACAGACATGAAAGGAAGAAAAAGTACCTGATTTTGGCTTGAATAGAATGTGAAGAAAAAATATTTGGATTTGTCTCATTTTAGATTGCAATGTATGTGATTATGTATTGAATTGCCATAGCAAAAATTTAGGATGGTGGAACTTGGTAGAATTTATGTGACAGGCTAGACTACATCCTCCATCCTGCAAGAAATGAGGAAGAAAATTCAACAATGCTAAGCTCAAGATCCTGCACTTGCATTGAGGCAGGCCCTAGTATCAATACAGTCTGAGGGATGAGGGACTGGGAGGAGCCCTGAGGAGAAGGACTGGGAGTTACTCAGGAAAAGCTGGACATGAGCCAGCAACGTGTGCTTGCACCCCAGAAAGCCAACTGCGTCCTAGGCTAAAGTGCAGGTGTTAGAATGGTAGGTGCTGCTGCCTATCCCCTGCCCCCAACAAGCCTCTCCTGTCCAAAGGCAAGCTGACTGAACATTCAGGCAACGCAGTCAAACCTCCACTCAACACTCACCACAGCTGGCTCAGCCATAGAGGCAAGAAAGGCTCTTTTGCAAGGTTTTATTCCAGTGGAGCAACACAGTAGCTGAAGGGAAACCAGGCTAGAAAGTGCAGGGAACCAGGTGGAGCAGCAGCTTAAGAAGGGGAAGGGTTAGGGGGCAGAGCTGAGGGCTGGGCAGGGGGCCTGGCCTCCAGGGGAAGGGGAGGTGGCCACCAGGGATGCCAGGCCTGTGACAGGGGAAGGAGAAACCAAAGGAAGCTGTGACACAAGTCCATGGGGGAGTCTGTTTTTCCCCCTGGGAGGGCCGACTCTATGGTGAGTAGTTACTGATGTTTCCAGGGCTGAGGGCTTGGGGATTGACTAAGGGAAGAGAGTTCATGGGATGCTACACCAGGCTGCTTCAAAAGAAGCATGGCAGGTCAAGAGAGGTGATCCTGCCCCTCTCCTCTGCCCTTATGAGACCCCCAACCCTGGAAACATTCAAGGTCAGGATGGATAGGACTCTGAGCAGCCTGATGGACTTGAAGATGACGCTGCTCATTGCAGAAGAGGCTTGGACTAGATGAATTTAAAGGTCCCTTTCAATACAAAATGTTCTATGATTCTACATCTTTTACAGAGAGCATTTAGGTACAGGACAGACTCTTGAATGCAGCAAGCTGTTGGCTTGATATTTCCTGTGGTTGTCAAGGCAGTCATGACACAAAGCAGAGACCACAAGCAGTCTCAGTTGGCAACTCTTTATTAGTGAACATGGCTGACTTTTATACACTTTCCAATTGTTTATGCTTCTTCTACCCTAATATGGCCACAATAAGTCAACATAATACTATTGGTGAGAAGTTATAGTGACTTCAACTAACTTTCTAAAAATGCTTCGTCCAGCTGCAAGGTTCTCTTATCTTTCTTCTCTTGGTCTCCTTGGTTACAGCCTTGGAGAGAGCTCCTTGTCAGCTTCTTCTTACTTCTCAGCTTCTTCTCGCTCCTTTAGCTAACAGGCCCACTGTTAGCCCATTCCACAATTTCCATCACACAAACTGGGAACAGAGCTGTTCTCTATATGCTCTGATTTCTTCTAACGTGTGCTGGTTCATGTCATTGGGGAAGAATGTGGGGCTGTTTGACAAAGGAGGGTTGCACTGCTACACCATAGCTTGGGTCTGTGCCCTGCAACTGGACTGTTGGACTAATCAAGTCCATAAGCAGCATGTACCCACCTGCGGCAGGGCACTGTGCCCTTTCCCATTCTCCACAAGTCTGTATGCCAAAAAGATATGGCCAGTTACTCAAGTGAAGTATGAATAACAGTCCCCAGAGGAATGGAAAAAAGGCACAAACTCTTCAAGAGGCGCCACCTGGCAGATGGCAACCTCAACATGCTTTTTATTTTAGAATACCATGTTTCTTTTTTGTTTTTAATTTTGTAACATAACTAGTTTATTTATGTGGGTAATTATCATTAAAGGGTTTAAAAAAAGAAGTGAAAGCATAAATGGAAGGAAAACATGGAAAGCGATGTATATTGCTATCAGCAGGAAGTTCTGACATACTGAAGGGCAGCACCAAAGAGAATTAAGAACAATAGATAACTGCAAATGCAGAGACAGGATGAAACTTCAGGAGAAGGGGCAACTGAACTTGAGGTAAAAGAAGACACAATAGGAATACTTAAGAAGCCAAAATCTTCTTCACCTGCTGGAAAGACATTATTTCATTTCCAGTGCAATATTTTGCTAGGTTGGAGAGGAGAGAAGGAACAGAGAATAAACCACAATGGTGGTGGGTTGTCCATGACAAACAAAGATTTCAAGTGTAAGGAAAAAAAAGAAAGATTTAGTTTTTTGGAATGAATCCGAAGGAGGGAATACTTCATTGTCAGTGATTTTACAAAAAAAAAAATACTATTTGTTTATTTACAAGAAAGGGATATTAGCCATGTTAGGTATTCTCTCCTGACTCAACTCCAGAAAAAATTCAAAAGAGAAAAAGTATATTAGCAACACTTACAATCTGACCATATAAACTATGGAATTATACTTAGACAGGCTCTGAGGCCATTGTATACCTACTTTCTTTTCTACTTAAAGTAAAGGCATCAATGGCAGGTTTTCATTCACAGCTCCAGGCGTTCTCTAAAGACTACACCGGTGTTTAAGTCTACAAAAAGGCACAAATGCTTTTGAGCTGGGGACAAAGATTGAGCTGGGGACAAAGACTGAGCTGGTACTAAATCTGGTGGTAAACACTTATTGTATTTGATTTTCTCCAGCTCAGCAAAAATATAGATAAAATAGAAAACAAGATCTATTTAGCTCTTCTAGAAAAATTCCTTGCCACCTCTCCCTATAGAGAGAAAACAGCCAATTTTCTTGTTTTCATAAATTCAGCATTCCATGAAATTGCAGAGTTAATTAAAGAGAATCTTGGAACAGGTCAACCATCACTAGGACAGTTCTATTTCTTAGGATAAATACCCATCTAGGGATCACCATCTCAGAGTAGATACTGCTTTCAGATCTCAGTTTCCAAGGCTCAGACCTTCACTTAGAAATGCACCTATGAAGTGCTTCCTAAAACAACCAAGCAAACAAGAACACTTTAAAATAAGGTTTTGCTGTCAAGAACTGACACACAGTATTATACTCATGTCATGTAAATATCTTGTTACTCTTCCAGTGTCTCCTGGTGTCA